GAAGAATTTCACTTGAATGTCATGTGTTTGAAGACATTTTATGACGCAGTCTCTGTGTTTCATCCCCTAGCTGTACAAACAAATTGCGCCAAAGTGGAACGACAAGTGATTCAGGAAAAGAATCTTATTATAAGCAATCGACTTGTTCACTTGCTACTTTCAGGTGAGTCCCCTCTCCACAAACATGCAGATACAACAGAGCTGAAGCTACTGGGAAAAAGAAAGATTCACGAACCTGAGTAAATAATGGAATGGAAATGTTTGGGCCTACGATTCCAATGTAAATACCGGTCCACTCTGTCGACAGTGTACGATTCGCCATCACCGTAAATGATGTGGCCCTCGAATATTCCGTCGCGAAACGAACCGTACAGCGTGGAATGCGGATCATCTGCAACGAACAAATCTGATATGCGCAACTTCACATAAATCAGCGCCACCAATCCAGCTTTAGGAAATACGTCGTATATGCTGCGTTTTAATCTGTCACGAAATCATCCGAGACGACGCAAAAATACTAACTTTTGTCATGGCCATGCACAACGAAATCTTTCACCGGTACATGCTCATGTCGTCCGTCGACATCAAAAACAAAGCTATCGCTGAATACATCAGAATTTTCGTCCAGTGAGCGAAGAATTAAGTGGAATGACCTGAAAAACAACTTCTCAAACAATTTATCGCAGCAGCATCATCTGTTGGTGATTAGCCTGATACTTCTGTTACTATTCCATTAGGGAAAGTTTGAATGTTATACACCTCTTCACTGCTTGTGAAGCCTTCCCAGTCACATACTTGCAGTAGATTAAAAGGGGTTGGACTAAGTGTCATGTGTGAAAAAACACGTCACGATGCAGCCTGTGTTTCATCCATTAGCTGTAAACACAAGCTGAAATTTGCGTGCGGCTACAAACGGGAATCACCAGCACAGCCCTCTACTCGCCATTATTGAACAGTCATGTGACTAGTTTTCAAGATGGATATGCGAAAGAAAGAAAAAAAACAGAAACAGAACAGAGAAAGTGAAAGAGGGAAAGAAGAGAAAGTGAACCCAAGGTACAGGCAATATGTCCGTCAATTATAAGCCAGCATTTTTTATAGGAATAATGTGCTGACCAGTCATTTAACTCCTGAATCAACAGGAATCAAAATCTGAATTTGCTAAGTATAGATCGGTTCCTGAAGCAGCAAAATCTGAATTTGCTAAGTATAGATCGGTTCCTGAGGCAGCAAAATCTGAGGGCGAAATAACGTGCTGACTAAGCTTTTAATTCCTGAATCATGCGATACACTATTTCAAAATAACCAGCATCGTAACTGAGAGGAAGCATGCGTGCAGTCAGTGGTATAGGAATTCTCATAGATATCTGGCGATGTAATGTTTGGAAAGAAAAAAACAGATGTTGCGATCAATTACGAAATGCTGTTAATCCCAACTTCACATGCAAGGGGACCTCAAAATCAGTCTGTTTCTCGACTTTCTGACAGCAAAAAGCAATGGTTCAAACCTGTTGTGAGAAGTGAATCGAAGATGAAGGGGTGTGTAGGAGCCATCCAGCGATGAGCGCTTCCTGCGACCCACCAGTGGCTCGTAACTGAGTGTTTCGTACCAATCAATAAACCTGCTCAAGCAGTTCACTGAAAATAAATGCTCTGTTATAATCAATAATTGAGTTCGTTTTTGACATTTCGAGACCGCTTGGTCTTTTCCAGTTCAACAGTCCCCTAATTCTGTCAACATTTGCACTGGACGTTCGATTTCGGATCTGCTAGGATGCTGATAGTTTTATGCGATACGAGACTTGCGGTCAAAAGTACTATCATATATACTGTACTGCCAGCGATCGATGTTTTGCAGAAAAACATTAACGTGGAAAACCAATAAAACCATTAATGTGGGAAGGGAAAATGGGACATGGTCTGAGATTAGCAAAATTCAGCCCGAATAGTAAAAAAAAAATTCACTTCGCAAAAAAATATAGTCAGACGGGAGCAAATCTTTACGAATAGGGCGTATAACCGAAGTTAACGATAGAATTTAGCGAAAAAAGGCATCAAAATCAGCTAGAAAATGCCGGATCATTTCCGGACGCTAATAAATTAAGCCAAAAACATTAAATCCATACTAAAACTAAAAAAAAATACAACAAAATTTGGGGAGTGGATAAAAAACAAAAACTACAGACAAAGATTCTCCCTTCCCTTCCGCCACCTCTATCCCTCTCTTCCCAACTGACCAAGAACAACATTTTGGAGTCCGTAACTTAGAGGCAAAGCTGCACGCCGATTTATTTTTTTCCACTTATAAAATTTCATTGTTCGGCTTCTGACGAGGAATATGTTCTAATCTGTGATGTGTTCATAGAGTTTTTTTCTATTATCACCCCCATTTACTACTGATCTACTTGTTTGTTTGAAAGGACGTTTCTGACACCGAAATATCGCACGTGTTGGAAAACTGGAAATCAGAACTAGCAGCTTACTAGTCACAGGAAGAACATCCATTTAGCCCTTCCTAAATGGGGTTTGGTGTGAAATTTCCAAAGCATTGGTCGCAACTCATTTAAAAGATGCAGCACTTTTGGGGTTTTGTGCGATGAGCATAATGTCGTCCACAAAAATGAGCATTTAAAGTGTCTCGTGATGCTGCCAGATTAGCAACATTTTTAGATGGCAACCCAGGCTAGAAAGGACCAAGCTTATCGGTGCGACCATGCTTTCTTGCACTAAATTCGCAGACCGCTAATAGCAAGAATGTTCCTTGCACTGTAGCCTAACACGTAGGCTCATAATGGCCGATCTTTGTCCCTTCCGGCATGCAGGAGCAAGGGTGTCGGTTAGGATGAAAGTAGTGCATTACAGAGCCGCATGGACCTTCAGGTAAATGATTACCAGTATTTTGCATGAAGCCCGGTCGTTTTCCGGTAAATGCTTGCTTAGTGAAAAAATAGAGGATCCAAATTTTTTGAAAAAATGCCAATTTCCAGTCCACTAAAAGGTGGAAATGTTGCTACAGCGGCCATTCCTCAAAAAGTCTAAGTATGAACTGAATGTTCGTTTACATATTTGGATGAGGGCGGTCGTTCGCTGCAAAATGCACTCATTTCTGATTTTTCAGTAATGTTAAGTATTTCTCATACACATCTGCAGGGAATTTCACCTCCAAGCAAAATTAAGACCGCACTTGAAAGTAGAATATCCCAGCGAAGTTTCAGCCTCGTATCTTATTCGTTAAGCGAAACGTCCACTTCGCTACAAATATCTTTTAAGTGCCCTAAGTCGTGGCGCAAGTGCAAATCGGTACTCATTTTAGGTATACGATTTCCTATAAGGGTGACAAATATGCTGGCAAAATTTCGGCCACTGTTTTCCGGCAAGTTTTCAAGTTAGCACAGTACCAAGTCGCAAACTTTGACGTAATCGTACGCGTCTCACAAATATATGCGACAGCTGAATTTGAAACCTTTAGCCCGCATATGCACAGAGAACATCCCTGCAAAGTTCCAGCTTTGTACTTTGCCTGGTTCTCGAAATCGTTTCCCGCCAAAGAAATCTGCATATTTTTTTCAGGGGTCCGTATGCAGGGTCTAGGCGCATGCGGGGAAGAATCTTAAAACGGGAGGGTGACACACGGGGGAGGAGCATACACCCAAATTTTCAGCTTCCCAACTTTCCTGGTCGTCGAGATGAAAGTGGCTGACAAAATGCATTCGATCCCGAACACACACACACACAGCCTCTCAGTAACTGCTGGCTGCTATAGCGATGCACAGCAAAAACGCATAAAAATCAGTGAGAGATACTTACCGAGTAAAATATTACTGATTAAAATGAACGCCACGGTGACGGCAGCGGAGGCAGTGGCAGTGGAGGCCATCGTCTCGGGGCGACGATATCGGCACACACCCACAACCAGCTACGACGAACCGCACATCGCCCCGAACCTGAAAACACTTCAATGCAATCACTGAACCTGCTCAATTCAATGCAGCTATCCGTCAGTCATTACACACATTATGTGACAGCAGTAGAGGACTTTGCACTAAAAGCGACCACTCGGAATGTGAAGTTGACAAGTGGCTGCACCAACTGCGACCACACGTGAAGCTTGCAGGAGCATAAGCGCAGCGCGGCATGCCCGGCACAGGAGTCGCTTTTATAATGCTGCTGCTGTCGCTGCTACTACTGCTACTTCTACTGCTGTTACTGCAGATTTCGCACCATTTTAGTCGTCTGTGTTTGCAGTTCAGAGATGAAACACAGACGTTACCCGATGCAAATACCGGCTAGCTTAAATGAGATTGTATAATTTGGCTTCTTCACTAATATCAAATAAACAAAATCGACAGCCCTATTCCTCTTACCTCTTGTCGCTGCACCCTACCAGCAGCAATGCAACACTTTCCAATACTAATTATATGCATTACGGTGCAGCACTATAGGATGAACGTAAGTCGATGAAGTAGAAAGACGCGAAAAATCGAGAAGTATAAAAGAGTCTTGAAACAGCCCACAGAGCACGGAATTCCTTCTCTTTCTTATTGCTGAAGGCGTATAAGATTTTTATGTAAATCCAATCGAACTTATTCGCTCTCAGTTTTATGCACCCTACGTGCGGTTAGAAGGGGGTAATGTACGGACAGGCAAAAACACAAAATCCAAACAAAGAAATGACCGACGAGTGATCCATGAAGGGCTTGCAGGTGAATACAGGCGATAACTGTTGCGAATACCTAAGTATGGAGACGAGAGGGAAAGATGAGAAATGCACGCAAAACAGTTCAATGAGAGTACTTCCGCATCCTTGTACACCACTGATCCGCACAGATACATACAGACATATGTGCACACCACAAATACGAAAGAGGGAGGATGAATTTTAATTGATGAACTGAGCAGTGATTGGTAAAACCCGGCTCGGCCGCGCAAAATGAACTCGCTTGTGGGTTATTTGGGTTCATGAGGGATGGTGGTCGTGCCTGGGTGGTGTTTGATTTCTTGTTTTTTTGAATTTCGGGAATGCAGGCATAAGCTCACCGGCTTTCATTCACTGTCGTGTTCCTTGCTTAACATCATAAACCCAAATAACCCGCAATACCTACCTCTGTCAGCCCCTTTTCAGTCGATATTCCAGTTTTCTTCCTTCTTTCACAATCCCTGTGACCTAAACCAGCACCTCTGCTGCCCCTCTCCCAGCACCCACCTCTTTCCATCCGATGAACCTCCACAACCACTGGTCAATCGGCTACCCAATCCCGTTGAGTCGCGGTTTAGTTATTGTTAAACATCTGCAACCAAAATCTACTTCGTAACGTGTGTGTGTGCGTGCGTGTGTGTGTATATATATGTGTGTGTGTGTGTGTGTGTGCGGACGTGGGTGTGTGGGTGTCCATTGTGTCAGTTAAGTGATGAAACACGGACTGCATTCATCAAACATGTCTTCTTGCACATGACACTTAGACTGATCCCTTATCTCCTGCTCTATTATTGCACAGCTCCAACCTATGCCGGTGCATTGGCTGAATTCCCAGAACAACGCCAGTGATGTGCAGTTTTAAATCTCACATATTCATACAGTATAGGTGCACGTATAAGCCGATTTCAGTTTCGTAGGCATGCAAGCAGTCAAGGAATAGCCTTATGAAATTTCAACTAGTGCTTTGCCCAATTACAAAGTTAAATAATCTTGTAATTCCCAACTTCACGTCTCTGCACGTACGTGGGGCATAAGCGCACTTGAGAATATGGGGTCCATTTTTACTTGCCTTTCATTTTGAATTTTACGACGAGTCGCATTTTGTACCTTACACAAATAATTGCCTGGCATTTACTGCACCGTCCATAAGCAAACTTTTTTTGGAAGTTGAAGGACTGACGTGAAACCAATGTATATTTCATTAAATTAGCGGGGGGAAGTTTTAAGTCGCAGGCAGCTCAGTGATTCCAAACGATACCTGGATGAGCAGGGGAAGGACGAAGGGTCTCCCCTTCCCCCTCCTCTCGGCTTCCACTTCTTCCCAGTACCACAGGCACCAGTGCTGCAAAAGTCCAGGTCTGTTCATAAATGAAACTAAAGTAACTCTAAGTAGCAGTGTGTTACAACTCTATTCCTAATTTTTGCATAGTTCCAGAGTGGGG